ACAAAATACCCAAAGTATAATATTATAAGGGTAATTCTATAGAAATTATCATTTTTGCTGTTACTGGTCAAAATTTTGACTAAACAAATTAATGTCACACACAGACAGATTATTTCTCTGGTAAATGTATTTTGTTTATTTATATTTTTGTTGCATTCATTATTTGATTTGGATACGAGATTATGGGTTTACTTTTCTGTAAACCAATTTGTAGGTTAGGGTTTGTTGTATTTTCTTCCCCACGTGAAATAAACTAAGAAATCGTCATTCCTCTGGCACCATTCCTCTGGGATATTAAGACTATGTTACACATACCCAAAAGGAGTCTTCACAAAAAAAAAATTGAGAATGACAAGAAAAAAAATGCAAATCAAAAATTTTTTGGAATTCGATTGATATAGTATTCTATGTCCTAGAAAAAAAGACTATTGTTAAAAAAATAGACTAATAAAGCAAAAAAGGTATCTCAGTGATACTCATGTTTGGGTAGAAATCTCATATGAAAAGGATGTTTCGTACGTTAATAACCAATACATAATAACAATATTACCACCTCCCGAAATAATTCAGCAAGGCTCCAAACTGTATAATAAATTTAAAAACTTAATGGACGAATTTGAATAAAATTAAAGTTCCTATAATAGAACATATAGTAACATAAAAATAAAATATTTACTTGAAAAACAAAAATATAAACCATTTCATTACCCATTTTCAATGGTTTACGAAATAAAGAAGGTTTATATTTTTGTTTTCAAGTAACTTTTTAATTTTTATGATACTGTTTTGTTTTTAAACAAGTTTATATATTTAAGTTTATTTTTAATTACTTATTTAGTTTTTATGCTATATTGTTTTTCTTTGCCTTTTTGAATAAAATAATAATTCCTCTGCTTGCCTCGTCATTCCTCTGGATATAGTTTTAACAAAAACATCGCAAATCTGCTCAAAAAAACAATTAAACTATTTGATCTTTCACTTTGCAGGGTTTATTTTAAACAAAAGGTCGTATTTGCTTACTTAAAAAATAAAATTAGAACAAAAAACTATTTTGAAATTACTTTATTAAAAATGATAGTTTCTGTATAATCACCCATATACATAAATATATACAGTGTGGCCCATTTGTTTGCGACTCACCCCTGTAAAATCTTTATTTATTGTGCGATTTTAACCGGATTTATTTTAAAAATGTAAATTTTGATAAACCGTATTTTTACAAAATACAAAGCCTAATATGTCAGTTTTAGAATTTAGATAAGCGATTTTTTTTTAAATCAAATTGTAGAGAATTTTTTTAATTCTTTTTTGTTTGTTTCATTCTTTCTATTACGTTTTTTATTGGTCAAAACCAAGCATAGTAATATTTATAACAGGTTACTATATTATAGTTTATTTTAATTTCAAAGTTTTTTTCATGGATAACTTGACAAAATACAATTTTGTAAATTTTTAATTTGGCTACAAAATCGTTTCTTCTTAAAAAATTTCAATAAAATTTAGTATAGGGTCATTTTGAAGGGTGGTAAATTCAGTGCCCTGCATATATATCTATATAAACGTCTATAGATATTTTTTTCTACAAAATTTACTCTTAAAAACTGACATAGTAGCCCTTGTATTTTGTAGAAATATAGCGTTCCAAAAATACAGTTTATCAAGATCTACACTTAAGAACAAATCCGGTTAAAATCGCCCTGTATAAAAAGTAAATTATTTTTATTGATTTTAAGTTAAAAAACATAAATTGTTAAATCAATAAAACAACTGGAAGAGGTCAAGCACAGCAGGAATAATAAATTGGACCCAACCGTTACAGTTGACATCTATAGATCTTACTTCTTGGTACATACAGGGTGTTTTGTTTAGACCTTTTAAACAATAGGACCTTCTTTGTGTTAAATTTAATACAAAATCACAAAATGGAACCAAAATACCCAATAACGTAACCCAAAAAATAAAATGGGGGGTGATGCCCCATGACCCTCTGATAATATGTCAGTTTCGGGTCTACAACAGAAAAGTTATCTGTCTATTATTTTAAGTTAAAGTACACCTGAGATAAAAAATTAAATGTAAATGTTAAATTCAATTGCTTTTATTTTGAGAATGTTATGTAATTAATGCACAGCAAGGTGCTTACGATGTTTTAACATTGACCATAATTAGGGAGCACGTAATTAAGTAATAGAGTAAATGTTGTTTATATTTTCGCGAATGTTATTCAACCCGAAATTTCTTATAACAAAAGATAAACCGTTAACAACAAAAGAAAAAACATTACAAAATTACATGTTTTTTAAATCATCTCTAATGATGTGTTATACAAAAGCCCATTATTTTTCAAAAGTAACACAAATACGCCTTAATTATATTTAAATATTTTCGTTAACGCGCGGCGCGGTAGGAGTAGAACCTAACGATCGATTGATGATTTTTATGGTGTCAGGGTTGTCAGACGTTGTTTAAAAATATTATTTAGGTCTTAACGGTATGCACATATTGCAGCTAAGTAGAAAATCGTGCTGGGTTATTAACTCAAATAGTATTATTTTGTAAGTTCACTTAAAGTTAATTACGATTCTGTAAAATTCGCCCATATGCTATTTTAGGCTTTAAAGCTTAACCGCCTAATAGGTTAATTATTTTGCAAAAGCAATTATTCAACATAAAAATCTACCCACCTGAAAATTTTCAAAATAAAACAAATTAAAATTAGTCTTTTTTGAAGCAGCACTTTAAGTTAAAATAACTTCATGTTTACCTATACGTTATAAACGGTACAAATTAAAAAAATACCAAATATATGGAATGGTTTAATACGTTATTTTTACTACTTAATAGAATTTTTAGCTACTAAAAGAATAACATAAGGTAAATGTCCCAGTGGTCGTCACCGACCCAATGTTCGTCAGTTTGATTTCTTTTTATCAAAAACTAGTTGAGTTAGTCCAGAAAACAATACTGTATATAAAGTATTATATTAGGTATTTTGTTTTTTAATGTTGGTAATTTTCATTTCATTTAAATTTGTAAGGTTAGAATTTTATGAGTCATTTTAGTTTTGTTGTTTAAGACGGTGCGTGGTTTTAGAACATTCTTAACACAAAAGCTAAGGTAAGTGGACAATTTTGTTTTGATATAGAAATAAATGGGTTATAATTATACTATTGGAAAACTTTAATTTAGTATAAAATGGGCTTGATATTCCTAATTAGCATGTTTTTTAGGGTTAAATAGTTTATAAATATTTTAAGTTGTAGTGACGACCACTGGTTAATTTTAAAACGTATTTGAACCAGTAATCGTCAGCTATGACGATGATTGGGCTAAAAATGTTTAAATATAAATCGATTATTTTTCGTATTTTTACCAAGATAATTATATATATGTTTTAAGAAACCTGTTTAATTTACTTTATATAATAGTTTGACCAGTGGTCGTCATTGTTTTACCGGGGATAATTAAAAGTTATAATGCAATAAAAAGTAGTGACGACTACTAGGTCCAATGGTGACGGTAATTGGTATATTGTTTTAGTTATGGCGAAATTTAATTATAAGAATGAAGACATGTTAAAAGCAATTAATTCTGTAAAGCTGGGCATGCCAATCGCAACGGCAGCAAGGAATTTTAAAGTTCCTCGAATGACTCTATCAGACAAATGTAAAGGAAAAACTCCAATTGCCAGAAAAATGGGTCCCCCTTCTATTTTGACCCAAGATGAAGAGAACAATCTTGTGAAATGGATTTTCTTTTTGGGCGATAAAGGTTTTCCTGTATCTGTAATTCAACTTATAGACAGTGTAAAAATGTTATTAGGAGATTTAAAGAGACCCAACCCTTTTAAAAATGATAGGCCGGGGCGACATTGGCTTCAAGCTTTCTTAAAAAGGCACCCGGAAATTTCTAACAGAGTTTCCCAAAATTTAACCAAGACCCGAGCTTCTGTGACAGAGAAAAATATTAAATGTTGGTTTGAAGAAATCTCTAATTATTTTAGAAAAGAAAGTTTACTAGATGTGCTAAATGAACCTACTAGAATATTCAACTGTGACGAGACAGCATTTTTTTTAAGCCCTGGAAATAATAAAGTCTTGGTTAAAAAAGGACAAAAAACTATTCACAACACAGTTAACTCAGACGAAAAAGAAAATATAACTACATTAATAATGGGAAACGCGGCAGGAGAGGTTGCTCCTCCAATGATAGTAGTAGATCTTAAAAGAGTACCAAAATCTCTAGCTAATTCAATGCCACCTTCTTGGGCTATTGGAAGGTCTGATAATGGCTGGATGACGGGACAAACATTTTTTGAATATATATCCAATGTGTTTTACCCGTGGTTAGTTAACAATGGTACAGAATTTCCTATTATTTTGTACCTTGATGGCCATGTTTCCCATTTAACTTTACCGCTAAGTAATTTTTGTAAAAGTAAACAAATTGAACTCGTTGCTTTATACCCCAACGCCACTCATTTTCTTCAACCCATGGATGTATCTGTATTTCACCCCCTAAAAAATGCTTGGAAAAAAGAAGTATACAAATGGAGAATTGAAAATTCTGGAATTCGCCTAAGAAGAGATAATTTTTCACCCCTTTTAAATAAAGTATTACAAGAAACAATAAAACCATCCACACTTCAAAATGGTTTTAGGGCCTGTGGATTGTTCCCTTTTAATCCAAATGCCATTAAATATTTTAAAGACAAAACTATAATCGACACAGTCACCAATAATAGAGATGACGTAAATCATCATCTCAAATTCATAGAAAAATTGATTGATTCTGAAACTTTACTTAAATTTAAGGAGTCGGGATCAATTTGGTTGCATGAGCAACGGTATTTGGAACTATTTAATGTTTGGTCTAAAATTAAATCCATGATTAATACTGATTTAAGTGTTTCCAAGAAATTCTTGGGTAACCATGATCTTCCTGAAAATGAAATTATAACCTTTGAAGTAGGAGAAGAAGGGGTCTTACATGAAGTAAATATGCAGGAAATGGAGTTTCCAGAAGTTTCAGGTTATTATTTACTGGCTGTTTTATTTTTCACTTATTTAATTATTTGTATCATTTTAGAAATTTTAGATAAATATATAAATAACAACGATGAACATCGTATAATAGAAGGTAAGTAGGTAAAACTTTTATTATTCATAAACTTAATTAAACTGTTTTTTTTTTAATAATTTTAGATAATTTGGTGGAAGGAGAAACAATGGAAAATAGTATAATGGATTATGAGCTCCAAGATAATATGGTGGAAAGTAAAATGATAGAAAACAGTAATATGGATATGGAGTTACAAGGCAATATAGTGGAAGATGAAACATTAGCAAAGAGTTTAATGGAGATCCAAGAAAAAAGTCCAGAAAAAGAAATGCTTCTGGATATTTCTTCTCCTTTTAAAAAAACTTTGTTTTGGCCAGAAGTATCAAAAAATACCACAAAAAATGCAGAAAAAGTTCCATCTGTTGCTACATCTGTAGAGTGGCAGGATTATTATAAAAAAAAAGAAACAAAAAAACTAGAGAAGGAAAAACAAATTGAAGAAAGAAAAAAAAAGCGGATCGAAAATAGAGAACAAAAACAAAATGAAAAATCACTAAGACTGGTTTCAAAAAAACAGAAAAAAAATAAAGAAAATACTAAACCAGAAGAGGAAAGCAATAAAGAAGAATCTTGGTTTTGCCAAATTTGTGAAGAAGATTATGGAAATATTGAAAGTATGATTGAATGTCAAAAATGCAAAAAATGGATGCATGATAAATGCACCAATGTTTCAAAAACAAAAAAAAAATTTATTTGTCCATTTTGTCATTAATTAGTTAATAAATATTTATTTAATTTTGTGTTTTTTCTTATAAATTATACCTGACGAACAATGGTACATAAGTATGACGATGACTAGAACAGACGCAATTTAGATATGACGAACACTGGTGAATAAAACAAGTATTATTAAATGGCAAGTTCAAAAAAAAGTATTGTATTAATATATTATAATAATAAAAAATGTAACGGCTACATAAATATCCTATCATAAAATACCAAATTTACAATTTTAAAGGTAGGTAATAATTATATTTACAATTTTTAACGTTAAAAACATCCTTAACATGACGATCACTGGGACATTTACCTTAATTAAAACAAATTAAATACCAAATAGTAACGTTAACCTAACGTTAAAATTACTTCATGTATGATATCTTTTTCTAAAAAATCTGTAACTTTTGAAATTAACAAAATGTTTACAAAATTGCATATTACCTTTACAAAACTTTCGGTAAAATATTTTCCTTTGTTAAAATAATTACAAACCCTGGTTTTCTACAAAAAAGTATATTAAAATTTTACAAAATAAAATTAACAAACTAACAAATCTGATTTTTATAACAGTGCCTACCTAAAGTATGTAAAGTATCTTAAATTTTTAATTAATACTTATATTGACAAAACTAATTATATTTAGCATTAAAAATTAAACTTATCATATTGATAAAAATAGCCAAGATACGCTATAAAAAATATAATCCCTCTAAAAATTATATTGAGAGTCAAGCCACGTCAAGTGGGACCAGAAAATTTCACGAAATCACCGATTTTGAAAATAATCACATTATTGTGTAGTAGGCATGACTCATATGTCACAGTAAAAAAATTGTTTTAAAATTCGTTTTTTTGGTAATGTTATTGAGGTTGACAATTTTGTCAAACTTTAGAGCACGGTAAAATTGAAAAAATAGAATCTCTGGAACCACTCTGTATAATTGAATTAAATTTTAAACACTATTGTAGAAATGTTTAGACTATATAATGATCATTTAATTAAGGTTAATTTGTTTAAATAAAATAATTTTGCTTACATTTATTATAAACAATTGAAATTTTGTATGTGTTCTCCACGCTGAAAAAAATTAATCTTTTGTCATAATATGCGGCAAACGTTTCCGTTTTGACATATGAGTCATGTCTACTACACAATAATGTGATTATTTTCAAAATCGGTGATTTCGTGATTGACGTGGCTTGACTCTTGATTAAAATAAATATATGCATGGCTTATAGCTCTCTAGATTGGAAGACATCTTTAATAATTTAATATGGCTTTTTTTAGAAATATTACCCTTTTGGGTTTAATTTTTCACTTAAACTTAATTTTTTCTTTTAAATTATTATTAATGGTTTCTTATTATTTAAAAAGTTCCCAGACAAATAAGAATTATTTACGCTTATCAAGTAGTTTTAATACAGTAAAATTATGACTTAAAAGTAAAATTTAGTTTGGAGCATGATACTACATTACTACATTATGTAGTATCATGGTTTGGAGTAATAAAATTTACGTTAAATTTACTTTTAAAAATCTCTTAAAATAAAATAACCCATAAGTAATTTGCTTTCTTAAAAATTACTAAACATCAGAGTTGTGAAACTGTGAATATTAAGGAAAATAAAAAAATTATAATAAAAACGTATTATATTACTTGATAAGATTTCTTACTTTAATGGCAGAAATAACTAACACATGTGTTAACTGCAGTTAAAAGTTTTTACATCAAGAGATGGTCTACTGATTTTTTTACTTAAGTAAACTAATAAATAAAAATTCACTATAGGGAATCAAGCAAATTAAGCAAATTGTACAAGGACTGTCTAAAATGTCCCAAACTGTATTAGAATTCTCTAAAATAAACAAAAACAGAAAGACTATAAAAATTTCCCATGAGCCTGAAAAATCGTACGAAAGTACCTACCGATTATACTTATAGTATGGCATGTAAAATTATTTTTACGGTTTTGTAGGTAAAGTGAATATTTATCGTCCATTTAACGCGCCTAAATGCCTCGCGGACAATCAAAGCGCGCCCGCCATGGAAATAAAAGATGACATTAAACTTTCAAAACAAAGACCGTAGAATAAATAACAACAATGAATTACGTTTATTACATAAAATTATAATAATTGTTCGGGCATTGGGAACAGCAGTCGGCGTTTCCTGGTCTTCGCTCGATTCACTTCCAGGCGTACAATACGACAAAAAAAAATAACGAATAACTTACACAATTTATTATAATTTTAAATAAGCAACATTGTTATATAGCCACTAAACATGCAAAATCTTTCAGAGAATTTAGAATCTTCTAAAGAATGGCATACTTTTACTACACAGTTTGAAATTCTCATTTACTAATTTTTCTAATTTTGACAGCAAACCGAAATTACCTTATAGAAAAGATGTTGACCACCCTTGGGCAAACGGAACATTTTATCTAATATTTTTCGCATAATCTCGAGTGTAATACTATACTTTAGAAAAAAATTAATTCAATTATATTTTTGTTTCATAATTTAAAAGTTGTGTTATCGAAAAATCAATTGATGAACTTATATTACGCTCAAATTGAGTCCCTTCTCAGATATGGTGTATGTTTTTGGGTAATGTCCACTCTTTCACAGGATATCTTCATCGCCCAGAAAAAAGCCCTAAGGTGTATTTTTTGTTTATCAAAATCACACAGCTGTAAGGTTGTTTTTAAAAATAATGGAATTCTTACTTTAACATCTTTATTTATTTTTTAAATTTGCGTTTATATTTTTAATAATAAAAGTAATTTTTACAAAAATAACGATTATCATACCCATAATACTAGGCAACATTCCGATTTGCATATACCATATGCCAGGCTTAGCCTTTGCAAAAATGCACCTGATTTCATAGGGCCAAAAATATTTAATATTTAATAGGTTACCTACTAATCTCAAAGATTTAGAAACGCACTTAGTGATTTTTTCAAAGACTAATTAATATTTTTTTATACATTCACTTAAGTAATTACTATTATTTGTTTTATTCTGATTTTGTTTTTTTCTTTTTGTATTTAATATCCTGTATTTTAATATTTTAATGTTTTAAGCGCTTGTGCTTCTTTGACTTTGACTTGTCCAAGACAATGTAATATTGTATTATTGTAAAAAATAAATAAACTAAACTCCAATAAGTAAATCATTAAATGATTTTCAAAAATATATAAATAAAATGTGACATCTGTCAAATGCTTAACCCCACTTTTTACCAATTTTAAACCCGATCTGTTCAAATAACAGTGAATATTGAAATCGGCCAATCACTAATGCATGCCTAACAACGTGAATAATGAGTTCAATATTTTCGTTGTTTATCATTATTTACAAAAAAAAAACAATATTATCAAGTTTGATTAACGCCATTTTAGTCACGAATTTAATTTAGGCACAAGCGAGCTTGCGACCGAGTGCTTAAATAAATAAGTTTATAAACGAGTTGCATACTATAGTTTTTCTACGACAAATACTTCTAAATCTAAAAAATGATTTAAATTAAATATTTCTATAAAGCGAAATCTATACGTCTATAAAGTAACCATCCCAATTTTCACCAATATAATGTTATAACATTGCCCGTTATTACTTTAATTAAACTTAACAATTATTGATACTTTAAAATACTAAAATAACTTCCAAATGGAAAAAAAAACATATTTTATCCTTTGATTTTTTTTTATTACTATAATTGCGAAATTTTATCACGAAGTAATTCTTACACGGGAAATGTTATAACGATATGTTATAAAGATACAAAAAGTGACAGTATTTATTGGAATTCCTGTTATAACATTCTATAGAATTTCCAACTAAAATCTCAATTTTTTTGATTTTTTTTATTACTATAATTGCGAAATTTTTTTACGAAGTAATTCTTAAGCAGGACGCGCACTGAATTCGCTCGACTCGGATCGGCACGGCACAGCAGTGCCGAACGTTTTGCATTGTTGTTATTTCAATATATCCCCGCGCACTCATTCGGATCGGCACGGCAGAGACCGTTCGACTCGACTCGTCTACGTCCGAGGTTCCTTGGGAAGGCAACTTCTGCCGAACGTCGAGTTGATTATACTAATTACACAGTAGGGTCAGCCCTGGATTAAGGGGGGCTATAGCCCCAGGCCCCGCCACTCAGGACCCCTGACACCACCGACAAAATGTTTACATTTATTACATTTTTCTTTTAATAAAGAACTTTGAGTGCCCCCTAAATTTATCTTAATCCGGCCGTGAGTAGGGTGGAGCGAAAATAAGGCAAATTTCTTTTTTTTTTTAATTGATTTTGCATTAGTGGAAAAAAGTTGCATTTTTAACTCCTTTTTAAGTATAGGTATATTTTTATTTTTTTAAACAAACTATTTTTAGAGGGTCCGCCACCCCATTGAATTATTGAATTTTTTATTTTATTTTTTTACATTAATTTGAAAAAAATTCGTTTTAACTTTTAAGCTAACGTATATAGGTACAAATATTAATTTTTTTTTAAACAAAATATTTCTTAAGGGTCCGCAATGCCGTTGCATTTTTAAAACAAAGTAGGTAATATATTCGGCGGATCCCCGAATTGTTGTATATCGACGTAAATTTTTTTTTTATTATTTTAGAAATAACAAAACGATATATTGGTTACTAATGCTATTCAAAAAAAAAATCGACCTGACTACGTCGGATTCGAATTCGGCGCAAAAAAATATGCAAAAAACTGTTGTTGGTTTTTTGTGTACAAAAGTTGACCCATATTTATAAACCTGTGTTATTAATTGCAATCCAAGAGTGGTGTCGATACTGTCGATTCATTATGGAAGAATTGTTAATAGAAAATGTACGCGAATATAAAATATTATATGATCCCGAAAACAAATATTATCATGATGTCAATCGAAAGGAGAATGCATGGAGCGAGATATCTAGAAAAGTAGGATTGTCTGGTAAGTAACAGCATCATCTTTCCCCTCTATATTTTAGGATACTTTTTTGTTTTAAAAGTAGGCCAGTGTTGTTACCAGCACTTTTTTGATTTCACTATTTTTTACTAAGGTGTAAATTTGAATATTATTTATGTAGTTATGCTTGTATACTGCCCTGCTAAGCTAAACCCCCGTATCTGCAATATTAAGTAAAAAAGGACAAAAGATAATTCTTAATGTTTCTAACAATTAAAATTATCTTTTGTCATTTTGTAATCACGTATCTAGGAACATGTCATTTCTTGGTCACATGACTTGTTTTAGGTTCGTAATTGACTATTTACGGATTTTATACATAAAAGTCGTTTTTTTAACAATTTCTTTATTACACCTATGTGATTACAGCGTAATAATGTCAAATATTATAAAATTCCGATAAAAAAATGTAAATCTTGGTCATGGTATATTATTTCTTCCCGCATTTATGGTTTGAAGCTGCCATGGTACACTGCCTTCATTAGATATAAAATACTGTTTAAATTGTTCTCGAATTTGTAAGGCTTCTCTTTGAAAATTGCCACCCATATTAGGTATGTTTACAAGTCCTTCAGGAACAGCTTCTGCTTCAAGTTCTCCAGGTTGCCACGCACAGGAGTCATTTCGCAAAAAATTATGTAAAGTAGTACAGGCCAACGTAATAGTATCAAGATGCTCAGGAGAGATATTAAACTTTTTAAAAAAAATCCGAAATTTTTTGCACATAATGCCAAAAGCATTTTCACTTACCCTGCGGGCTCTACTATGACGATAGTTATAGATTCGGTTTGATTGGTTGTTAGTAGTCTGTGCACCTGGGTAAGGCCTCATTAAATTGGGCAATAAAGGGAAAGCCTCGTCTCCTACAATCACATGGGGTAACATTATATGGGTTCGTGGTAATGCTTTGTTTTCTGGCAAATTTAACTGTTTCGAATTTAAATTTTTGCCAAGCTGTGATGAACTAAATATACCTCCATCACTACTACGACCATATGCGCCAACATCCACGGTAATAAATCTGTAGTCGGCATCAACTAACGCTAATAATACAATACTAAATTCTTTTTTGTAATTGAAGAATAGAGACCCTGATTTCGGTGGTTTTTCAAAAACAATATGCTTCCCATCTACTGCTCCAATACAGTTAGGATAATTCCATCTTATGCGAAAGCCTTCTTCAATTTTACTCCAATGCTGTTGTAAGGGTTTAGGCATTACTACAGGGGACAGTACATCCCATATCTTCTGACAGGTTTCGTAAATAATCTCTCGCACTGTTGTTTCGCCCAGTCTATAACTAAATGATATTGTTGAAAACGAGTCACCATGACCAAGAAATCTGAAATCAAAGTAAATATATAAGCAGTATGGTGTCTTTAACTGGAATAAATTGTATATTGTTTTACAATAATAATTGCGCCAGGGACAGGATGAATATTTTGATTAACTATTTTTTTTCAGTTTCTGAATGTAAGAAAACCTGGACAAGTCTAAGGGACAACTTTAGAAAAGCTCTTAAAGGTAGGAAAACATCCAGTGGCCAAGCAAATTCGTCAAAAAAAAAGTGGAAATATGAAGACGTTATGAGTTTCATGATCCCATTTTATAAAGAAAGGAGGCAAAAATCAAGTATTCAAAACACTGACATACAATTAGAGAACAACAATGATATGTCATTGTCAGGAGATGAATCTAACTTACAAGACTTGACAGAGGAACCTGTACACCCAAGAAGTGTGTCACCTGAACATCCAAGAAGTGTGTCACCCGGATCTTCCCATTATAGTACCTCTTCTACCACAACAAAAATTAAGAAGCAGCAAACATCCCAAGTGGCCGAAGTACTTCAAAATTATTTTCATCAAAAGCAATCCCTAAAAGTGGAAAGAAAGGCAGATCCTCTGCAGAAATATTTCGCTGCGGTAGAAGAAACCGTAAGAACATTTCCACCTGCACTACAAATAGAAATAAAACAAAAAATCTCCTCCTTATTATCGGATTATGAACTTAAAAATTTAAATTTAATGGAGGCTCAACAAAATCCAACTCAATTGCCTCAAAATTTAATGGCGCATCAGCAAAATGAAATTCAATTGCCCCAAAATTTAATGGCCCGACATGAAACTCAATCGCCCTCCCAAATAGACCAATATCTACCACAGTTTACACAAAAGACACCCGCACAAGTTTTTCAGTCGAGACAAAATGAAATGAACGACAATGATTATGATAACAGCAGTTACATATACCATAATCTGAAATAATATTTTGTTTCTAGATGTCACTAATATTTTTTGACAATAAAGACTTTAAATCTTTTTTGTATTTTCATGCGCAATGTTATGTATATATTTAATACTTACTTGAGTGCAACAGCTAGGCGTTCTTCGGGTGGCACTGGTTTCCTGTAATTTGTAACTTGTTTTTGTAGATTCAATAGCTGTAAAAGTTCATTAAATTTCATATGGGACATTCTAAAATATTTGAAAAATTTTCTCTCATCCTCAATTAAATCTGGGAATAAGTGATAAAATTCTCCATATGTTTCTCTTTTTAGATTAATATCATGAATCCAAATTTTAGGAGTTTGTTGTTCGATTTCTTCACAACATAGAGCTATAATGATATCCTCCTCAGAATCCGATGATGAACTCATTTTGTTTTCTGGACAATAATTTGCTCGGATGCCGAAAGAGAACTAGTTTCTAGTCGAATCAGTGCGCGGATAAAAGTCGTGCTGATCTGACCCGTTCCGTGCCGATCCGAGTCGAGCGAATTTAGTGCGCGTTCTGCTTTACACGGGAAATGTTATAACGATATGATAAAGATACAAAAAGTGACAGTATTTATTGGAATTCCTGTTATAACATTCTATAGAATTTCCAACTAAAATCTCAATTTTTTGTGTACCTAGATCAAAATGTATGATTATTTTATATGAAAAAAAAATATTACTAATTTTAAAATACCGCGGTATTAAGGCGTCAATCCAATTGATGAAAATATTAAAATTAATGAAACGAAAGACTTGGGTAGTTGCAACACTCAATTAATATTTAAATTAATCCGAGTAATTGTTTAAACCGGTGATTCATCTCATTCGTTAAGTAGGTGCTGTATATTTAATATCTTTAGTTTTTATGTTGCATAATTTATTAATTTTATTAGTTTGGACACAATAACTCAGGGCGGTGGAGCCCATTTTCCGGAAGCGTCTCTAATTGAACTATTAAAATTCGACCATTGGCCGTAGACATTATATTTCATGGACGCCTCGATGCATGCGATAACCATCCGAAACGATAATAATTGTGAAGTTGCATCCGGAAGCGGACCAATAAGACTCCGGGAAGATAAGGAGTCAGTTCGGGCAAAAACTTCGCACACTGGGCCCAGCCACGAGATATTTGATCCCTGGAACATGACAGTAATACTAATAATAATATTTATCTATTTTGCGTTCATAATGACTTCATTATAACACCGCTTTAGGTGCTGTAATGAGATACTTTATCCCACCCAAAATTTTGATTTTATAGGTTGGCTATACTTTAAACAGCATAATATTTTGCATATTGGTTATAATATTTTTATGATTTTTCTAGTAGTTACGAGACTTTTCTGGCAATAAATTTTGTAAAAACACCAAAGAAAATCCTTTTTCTCTTCTTTAACATTAACAGCCGCTTATTGTAAATAAGTAAATTAAGGACGGCATGGCGAATCGATTTTGACATTAACTGTCAAACCAATGACTGTGATACCAACTATCTAAAGTAAAATTAAATTTAAGATATAAAATTAATTTTTTTATAGAATTTTTGCAAAATAGATAAAATAGCATAAGACCTTTTGTCGCACTCGTCCATTACAAAACTCGCTCCTTCGTCGCTCGTTTTATAAATTTTCCCACCCAGATTCCCCTATTGTTTCATAGATGGCGCTCTATACAAATTTTTTATTTAAATCATTTTAAGATAATAATAAGTATACTAATAAGTATAAGTATAATATATTTGTCGTAGCAAAAGTTTATAAACTTTTCTATACACTCATTAATTTAAGCACTCGCTCGCAAGCTCGCTCGTGCATAAATTAAATTCGTGTATAAAATGGCGTTTATCAAACTTGATACATAATATACTATTAAAGTATCAATAATTCTTCAGTTTAATTAAAATAATAGCGGGCAATTTAAATGGTGAAAATTACGTCAAAAATGTTTATTGGGATAATTACCTTATTTTCGTATATGTCGCTTTATACAAATATTTAATTTAAATATATTTTAAGATAATATTAGTATTTGTCGTAGAAAAAGTATAGTATGCAACTCGTTTATAGGAACTAATTTAATTAAGCACTCGCTCGGAAGCTCCCTTGTGCCTAAATTAAATTCGTGACCAAAAATTAAATCTAGATTAAAATCACCAAATAATTAATATCTTATAACTGTCTTTGTGGGTCTTGTGTCCCAGCGTGCAGCGCTCACTTGATGATAAAGTTCACTTATGATGTTTTGTCGGGGCGTAAAAACTGTTCGCAATTAAGAAAGTTATACCGAAACGTGGAGGGGCAAAAACTCCGGATTGATGTATCCCTATTAGTAAGCCGTTATTTTTTGCTCCCGACACGGCTACCTCATTTACTACTCGACTTCCAAGATTTATTTTTATGTGGGATAGATTAGGAGATTTACTCTAAATTAGAGACGAAGTTAATTATTTATTTATCAGCTCAGCGCGTTCATTTCTTTCTTTTATTATTTAGCAGTTCAGTTTGTCTCACCTGCCACTATATCAAGCTTGTACTTTTTACTTGCCTTTTAAATATACATAATAGTTTTATAAAGTCTAGACGTGTATCACAAATACATTGAATATTGATGAGCTTAAACTAGATAAAGCAAATCTGCTAAAGAGATAATACAATAAAAGGTTTTGTTTCTACCACAAGAATATTCAATTTGATATAAATATTTCTATAAAGTTATAATTAATATTTCGTTTTATCTGTTTACATTATTTTTTTGCAACTGTACACGTTTTCGTTTTTTTATTAATTAAAATATTGTTTTATAAAGAAATAACACCACGTCATCCTCTTTTAAAATAATAGTATATTATGTATCAAGTTTTATAAAAGCCATTTTAGTTACGAGTTTTATTAGGCTGGTCTAGAGAAGTTTATAAAACAAGTTGCATACTAAACGTTATCTACGACGAACACGAAGAAGAATTTAAAGCCAATTTTATTTGTTTAACAATTGACACAATGAACTTTTAACGGATTTAACCTCACATTTTCCTAATTTATAATAAAGCTTCAGCTCGTGACCAAAATGCTAACTTCAGCCCGGGACTAAAACGCCATTCAGCCCGGGACTAAAACCCCATCAAGTCACAGCTCGTCAATGTAGGAGTAGATAAAAATAATTAATACTATTTTATCAAAAAAACGTAGAGAAATAATACATTAGCACAAATAATTTACGTTGCATTGAATATCACAATTACGTTCTCGTTGTAATAGTTTTATCACCGATAAATTTAAATCATACATTTTTATGACCCAATTTACTACAATGTAAAAATAATATAATAAAACATAATATGTTTTTATTATATTATAATGAAATATTATTTTTTAACAAAAAATTCACAATATTATAATATATATTTGTACTACCACCTTTAAAACGCCCATTATCGTACTTGTTACCAAGACACAAATACACATTGACAAGCTGTGACTTTGTGGCGTTTTATTCACGGGCTAAAGTTAGCTTTAAGTTGACAGTTGTCAAATAACCTTGTGAAATAATAAAAAAATATTAAAAAGTTTTTTGGCGCCAACCTTTGAAAATATTTTATGAATTCTGATTGCCTTTTGATTATACTATAGTATTTCCCGATTTAAACGGTTGTTACTGTATTTTTAAGGGATATTAAAAAGTTTTTTGGCGCCAACCTTTGAAAATATTTTATGAATTCTGATTGCCTTTTGATTATACTATAGTATTTCCCGATTTAAACGGTTGTTACTGTATTTTTAAGGGAGAAATTTTGATTTTACAGAAAAAATTATAAAATACCATTGCCATTTTAAAAGCCAGTAAAACAGATTCCTGGCACCAATATTTTTGTATACATAGATGTCGCGCTGTACAAATATACAGGGTGCACCAAGTATCCTTCTATTTGTATTTTTTTATTTAAAGAGCTACAAGGTCGGTTAAATTAGAGAAGACTATATGTTTATGTTAATATATTAACATAAAATTTATAAATTGAAAAAAAGCCAGCGATTCTAAAATTTTTTGAAAGAACTTTAAACCTTTCAAAACCAGTAATCGTTATTCCTGGCAATTTTGAAAACAACATTTTCATCAAATTTTTTTGGTACTATTTTTTGCCTATAGATTTGTTTTCTATCCAACCATGTAAAATTCCAATATTGCGGCCATAGGAAAAACCAAAGAATTGATCTTAAAATTCAGTAGGCGAAAAAAAAATAGGATGAACATTTTTTAAATTTACTGGAAAAGTTTTTTTTAAATTATTTGAGAATCGCTGATTTTTTCAATATTTAAATGCCATTTTAAGACTTGTAATTACGCAACTTTTGTCCCTCTATAAATTAATTAGTAATAATTTAGGCATACATTTTTGATAATAATATTTGTCGTATAAAAGTATAGCTTACTAAGACTAATTTTATTTAACACTTACCCGCAAGCTTCGCTTGAATTAAAATTGGTTACTAAAATGACGTTTATCAAACTTGGTACATACAAATTATCCACTGCCACATTGATAATTTTGGTTTTAATCACGGGCTAAAGTTAGAAAAAAAGTGAGGTTAAATTCGTCTAACAGTTATCTAATGTCAAATGTTTAACAGATGTAATTATCTTTAAATTTTTCTTTTTTTTTGTCGTAGATAAAGTATAGTATGCAAGTCATTTTATAAACTTCATTTTATAAAACTTAAGATAGTTATTTGTAGTATAAGTTAACATTGTCTTAACAATTACGAAACCTTTATTTAAATATAATTAAAAAAAAGGAAAAAGGATATTTTAGATATTTTCTTTGGAGCATTAATATTTTGAATAGAGCTGTATAATATACATATACATATTATGTATGGTGGTAAATATCGATACAGGATACACTTCATTGCGTATACATACGCTTTGGCTTGTTGTTACAAGGTAATTAAGATTGGCTGGCAAATAGCAAATTGTAAGAATACCGAGCAT